TGGTCAAGATCGCATGGTACTGGTACAATCACAGACACATACATCAATGAAATAGAATTAAGAACCCAGAAATCAGCCCATGGTCAACTGATTTTTGACAAGGAGATGAAATCAATTAAGAGGAAAAATGGCATCCTTTTTAACAAATGGTGTTTGCAAAATTGAAAACCATCTGCAGAAAACTCAAATAAGACTCACACCTCACACCACAAACAAAAACCAACTCACAGTGGATCAAGGACCTAGGACTAAAACCAAGGACTATAAATTTCATTAGAGGAAAGCTCGGAAGAACCCTAGAAGCACTAATCCACAATTTGAAGTCTTCCAAGTATTCTGAAAAACCTACAACCAGGAGAGGATAAAATAGATGAATGAGACCTTCTAAGAATCAAATCTCTATGTACATCCATAAACTTCAATGGGTTAAAAAGGAAAGCCACAACCTTGGGGGAAGAAAATTGGTAATGATGTGTCTGAGAAGGTACTTATATTTAGAATTTATAGCATACTCAAATGCCACAACATGATAAAGGTAAACAACCCAATTACAAAATGGACACAGGTTACGAACAGACACTTCACCAAAGAAGACATTCAGATGGTGAATAAACACAAGAAGTAATGTTCAAAAGCCCTAGGCCTAGAGAGATGCAAATCAAAACAGTCATAAGATATCATCACCCCTGGAACCGCAGCAAAATTCACCAGAGCAGAAAAACTAGAACCCTTATTCACTGTTGGTGGGAGTGTAAAATGGTGCAACCACACTGGTTGGCAGTATGGCACTTTCTCAAAAAGTTGGAAGAGAAACCGTAACTGTCACCCAAGCAGATATATGCACACCTATGTTTATTGCTGCTTTGTTCATAATAGCAAAGAGATGGAAACAACCCAAATGCCCATCGACAAATTAATGGATAGAGAAGCTCTGCTATATTCACACAATGGAATAGTGTGCAGAACTGAAAACAAGGAACTCATGAAATCTTATACTAAATGGGTGACCATGGAGGACATTATGCTGAGTGAAATATCCCAGTCATAAAAGGCAAATATTGCATAATGTCACTGTTATAAAACAAGAATGACATCAGTGTTGGAGGAAATTAAGAAAAGAGGGGATAAATAATGTACACTATATTGAAACAGGTGAGGGAAAGAACTGCTTAAAAGGAATATATGATTAGGTATTACTTGCATGACAACAGTTCAGAATAAAAGCTGTGTAGTAAAGTGGACTGGGGGAGGGCATTGTACAACAA